ACATTCTCGGAACATTCTGTTGCGTTGCATTTTGTTACTTCGCTGTAATGTCATCAAATTTGGCAAAATGTTCGCCAGCTCACAATTCGTTTTCGCTGTATTTAAATCAGGACTCAAACCGACCGTCACTTCTGCAATGCAGGCTTCTATATTAAAGGGATTTTAAAATATGCCATACTCTATACTGAATCAGGCATTTAGGGTAAATATGTGGCTTTGGGTGTTAATAAGAAACACGCAGGATATAAAGTAAAGTCGATTGAGATTGAGATTAAGATATTAGATTTTATAGAAATTAAATCTTTCCGATGGTTGGCAACGGGTCTCTACTTCACTTTAACACAGAATGTGTTCGCCAAGTAGGAGCCCCGCTCATCACCGTAATCATGCCGTTGCGTACAAGGAAGTTTGCCTCCATACCACAAGTAGAGGTTGGCCAGGCAGCGTCTAATTCTCATACGCGAATCTGGGCAACCACTTATGCAGGATTAAGTAGCCAAGCCCGCAGCTGCTGGCTTACGACCGAAAGAGGCGAAACTCAGAGGGTAGCTGGGCAGTGTCTCCCTCAGAGTGGAGCGCCAGTCAGCGAATGATCGCAAGCCTCAACGGCACCATAATTCGCCAAACACGTGTGCTTCGAGCGCAATGCGTACTTATGCGTACTTGTGCTGGGGCTAAGCCTGCTCACATCCACATCGAATAAAGACGAACACAAGGCAAATTCGAATTACAGGAAGTAGGTCGCCGCAGGCGAATGCAAGCGGCTGAGGATGTTGACGAGATGAAATAGCGACCAAATTCAGCGCAGAGCCAACTGGTAATAGTGAATGGACCAGACTCTCTACCTATCTCACCTACAATATGAAAGGAAAGCATATGACGGATGGGTCGCTTAGTTAGGATGACGGGGCGCCGGGTCCGCCGACTTAGACTCAGTGGGAAAATATTCAATATTTGCAGGCGAAAATAAGAGCCATAGAATTTGGGCTTCCCTCACTTTGAAATAGACTGTATTCATAGGTAGAGATCTAAGCGCCTCAAGCACATGTCTGAGCCAACTAATAGGGTAACTTTCTGATAAGTGTCAGAATTTGCTGGAATTCCAAGAAACGAGGCTGACGATTTAGCAAAAAAGTAGCATATCAGTCCTCTGGAGAGCGGCAACATTTGATGGACTAGGACCTAGGCATAGAAATCAACACGTTCCTAATTAGCTTCCTGGCCTGCTATTGTTGGTTACAGGCAGCAATCCAGGCTATGGCTGATGAATGTCGGCAGCTGATCCAAAATTCACAAAATGAGCTATTCAAGAGGCGGTCACAGTGCACTTGACTCTGCTGATTACTTATAAAATGGTCTCCTACTCGAACGATGCTTTCCCGCTGGGCATGGGCAGCGCCTGCCGACACACACGTCTGCCCCTTAATTAATAGCGTGCACCACTGACACACCCCCAATTAGGAGGCTTCCGGTCAATAAATAGGTAACCATGGCAAACGCCAGCGACATATTACTATGCAGCATTTTAGGAACTGCACACGAGCGGTTGGTGTCATGTCTGTTCTCGGAACATTCTGTTGCGCTGTAATTTTATTACTTAGCTATAATGCAATCACAACCGGCAAAATGCTCGCTAAAATCCTAATTAACTTTCAGTGAATGCATTGCACAGCTGCACATTAACGAAAGTTACAAAAATGTTTTAAAGCTGTAATGTTTTCCATGTTTTGAGGGGCCTTTCACACGTTTTCCAAAATCCATCCCCCTTTTTTTTGGAGTGTCAGTCAAATACTTATTATGTAAAGTTACGTGCTAAAATGCATTTAGAAGAATCTTTACGAGAATTTCATTTAAGCGTGTTTCACAATTTTCACTAAATCCAACCGATTTGGGTGGAAAATACGAGTCATTGTTCGTATGAAAGTCTACTTTTCGGGATCGAGATTTCCAGCAAGGGACTTAAATGGCGTGTTCTTATTGGAAAGGTTATATCTAAAACTTTTAGCACAAAACGTTCAACCGGGCAACGCCGGGAACTTGAAGATAGTTCGAGTGGATTTTTATTTTCCACTGGTGGGAAATGGGTGGAAAATTGATGATTATAATTTTTGGCAAAAAAAAAAAAAAAAACTAGCAAGGCAAGGCCAGACAAGGCCAGGCAAGGCCAGCTAGCTTTTATATATAAATATTTTTGCCCTGACCGATTGATTTTTGATCAACGACACTTTAGGCCATGTCTCTAAATGGCTAAAATTCGCTGGCCTATATATTATTTAGCGAAGTGCTACTGCGTCAGCGATTTGAAACGTTTTGCATGTAGACGAACATGCTCGAACAAGGAACAAAGGAATCGCCGCTGGAATCTCTCTAGCTCTGAGTTAAGTGGTTGCAGATGTCCTGCCATTTGTTTATTAAAAGAACTGATTGATGCATAAATGCATAGTTTACTTTTCACTTCCTTTCCCTTACAATAGCCGAAGCATTGTAGTAAAGTTGGCTGCGTGCCGCTTTTGACAATGCCCACGTGTGCACACAATTGAATAGATGCAGCACTGAAACACCGGTAACTAAGAGGCTTATGTTCAATAAACAGGTAACCAGGTAACCAGGTAGCGCAACTCAACGCTATTTTATTGCGCATCACTTTGGTCACGGCATCCATAAGCGGATATTATCCAGTTGCGTTGTAATTTGGTTACTTCGCCATAATGCAATCATCTCGGTCAAAATGTTCGCTAAGCTCAAAATGCATTTTCGCTGCACTCAAATCAGTTCACAAACTGACCACACGCCCAGGAAGGCGAAATTGCACAATTTGGGAAGTATATAGATGCTTGTATATGGCAGAACCAGTATATTAGGTCCATTGGAGATTTATTTATTTTCACAACTGCATTATATTCTCAAAATGTTGCCTTCCTCAACTTGTCCCATTTAATTGAATAGACCATACAAACAAACAAGAGGAGTTAACTTTGGGATACAAGACATTAAATACCATTGCAAATATATTATATTTTATTCTAAACCATAAGCCCAACAACTCGGATATAGCATATAAAAGTTGCTTAGATAAAGAATCTTTAAGAAATACAAAGTTTTCATATAAAAACTTTGTTTATATGGCAGTTATGTGGTGGTCGATCCGGCCAACTTCGATTTATGTACCGATTGAATAATTTAAAACTGAGAAACTTGTTGGCAATCGAACTGACAGATTGGAGAGAAGATTCACTTTATAGGGTCGCGTTTAAAGCAAATCAGTTGTGTATTTAAATTTAAGCACATATTAGTTGTTGATGGAGTAACAAACTTATTTAAAAAGTATATGATGGTCAACATTTAGTAAATAGGGACATAAATAATCGAAAAACTATTATGTTCATTTATTACACACAATTCGTGCTTTGCAACTGAAGCGTTGGGCATTGCCTGCTCTCTTGTCATTGTTTACATTGATATGGCGCTCATTTATTGGCATAGCATAAACTTATGCTACGGGCTAGTTAGTTAACTTCGTTCGCCTCGCACTTTTGGTACACATCGTTCACTTGCATTATTCAAACAAGTATATAAATAACTAATCAATTGTCGCTTTGATGCAATCGGCACGTATCAATTCGGGCTTGCTTGCCTTTGTTTAACTCTTGCAAATTAATAACAATTAAAAGACTCTAGTCGGGAGCGCCCGACTAGGCAATACCCCTTCCCACTAAGAGGACGTACAGCTACAATTTTAAGTCTCTAGCTCTTACGGGCGGACAGACGGACAGATAGACGGACATGACTAGATGGATTCGGCTATTGATGCTGTTCAAGAATATATATACTTAATGTGGTCGGAGATGCTTCCTTCTGCCTGTCACATACATTTGCGTAGATACATTAGACCCTTTTTGCCCGTTTCAGGGTATAATAAGCACAGACTAAATCGGGTCTGCCTACTTTTTGTAACCTATACCAAATATACAATAAATAAGATTAGATTAATTATTTCTAGCTATTAAAAAAATAATATTAAATTGGATGTACATAAGATATAAGTAAGGGCCAAGGGTCGATAATTAATGCTAGTATTATATTAGTTATATATGCTTTCGATTTGAAAATTTAATTTAAGGTTAGGAGAGTGGAAAAAGTTGTCAAGCAGTACCGAGCGCTGTTTATTCACTAGACGTCCATTTGAATAGTGACACAACGCATTATTACTGATTATCACTGGGAAAAACAGACTCCGAGCAGCTGCTGCCAGTGGGTGTCACAAACAAAAGATGCGATGCGGTGCGGCCCAACCCGATGGCAACCCGATGCCAGCTCCGACTCCAGATACGCCTCCGGCCCCTACACTCACTTGTTCTATGCCCAAAAACATGAACACCCAAAAGTGAAAGACAACGGTGACTGACGGTGGCGACGACAACATGAAGCGGGGGGCCGAATGAGGGCGACGACAACTGCAAGTACGAATATCCATATGTATGTGTGTACACATGTATGTGTGTGCACGTAACCTACTAACACGGGAGAGCCCCAGTTAAAAGGAGACAGAGACAGAAAGAGAGCAGAGACAGAGAGAGAGAGAGATAGCGAGAGAGTGGGTGAGAGAAAGAGACAGAGAGAACGAGAGGGAGAGAGCAAAAACAAACATAAAGCTTCAGCTTCATCGAAAGTGAGGACGAGGATGAGTGAAAGTGACGCAGCGGTTGCGTTCTGCTCAGCTGCTGCGATGCTGGGATGCTCGGATGCTGGGATGCTCGGATGTTGGGCGGCTGGGCGGCTGGGATGCTAGATGCTAACTGCTGTCTGTTGTCTGCTGTCATCTGTTTGGCGGGCCGTTTGCCGCCAGTGGAATCGGCATTTCGACGCATCTCATCGTGTTGTTGCTGTAGGACGTTGAAGGACACCAGCAGCAGCAGCCGCAGCAGCAGCCGCAGCAGCAGCAGCAAAAGCCGCCCCGCGTCTGTGTATGCCTGTGTTGTCCTAGTCCTTAAACGAGAGCTTTTAATGCGGCTTCGTCAGTGGTTCGGCATGGACTCGGCTGCTGCCACAGCCAGACAATGCTAGCCACCGACTCTCGCCGAGCAGCGTCCGTCAGTCGAGTTTCGGCCGTTCAACTAAACAGAGGTGCGACAGCGGACAAGCTCCAGCCGAGGACGACACAGGCATTCAGCACCAGGGAACAATAGCAGCAGCACATCAGCAGCAGAAGCCGCAGCAGCAGTTTGTGTCCATCCAAAATCACAGACAAAAAACCACCCGCAAAAAAAAAAAAAAAAAACCAAATCAAATCTAAATAAATCTGTGTGTGAATGCCTCAACCAAGCGCTCTGTTCCATTCTGAAAGTGTCGCTCGCAGGCGTTTTGATTGACAGCAAACAGGAGTGACCCATAACCATTCCAGTGGATGGGTTCTCGTTGTGCCGGACTTGACCTGAGCCAGAGCCCGAGCCCAGGAAAGTAGGCAACGAATAAGTGCAAAAAATAAATAAATAGCCGCACACAATTGGAAATCTAATTAGCGGCAGGCGTGCGACCCTCTCAATCATCATCAGAGTATTGGCAGCAGCGGCAACTCGATGTGAAGCACAACAACAACAACAACAACAACAACAACAATACTATTAACAACGGCAACAAGAGGAGTTTGACCGGAAAAGGCGTTGCTCGCACCAACAACAACAACAAGAACAACAACAGGGAGGCGGAGTGAACAGTAAACCAAACGAAAGCGAAAGCGACGTCAACGCCAGCAAACACTTTCCCGCGCGCGTACGTGTGTGTATGTGAATGTGAGTGTGTGCGTGCATTTGTGTGTGTATTGATGTGCCTGTAAGTGTGTTGTAACTTTGATAACGGAACACGCGCGTTTTTCTGTACTGCCCAGCAACTGGAGGCGGCTTAGACAGCTCTCTCCTTGTCTCCGAGAGTGTGTTTGAGTGTGTGTGTGTGTGTGTGCTTAAGTGTGATTGTATGTGTGTGTGCGTGTGTGTGGCTGCTGACATCACTGCTTTGTTTTTAAAGGCAGGCTGAACTGAAGCTCAATTGAGACGTTAATGAAGTAAACCTTACGACCACTTACACAGTTACTGATCAATTAACCGTTAACGAAGCTGCCAAATCCAGCACAGCCATTACAAGATACTCCAGCACAGCCACTGCGAGAGCTGCTATCACAGTCAAAGATAAGCAAAGAACCAAAGCCAATAAACATGTTCTCCATGTGCTCAAAGGTGAAGGCAAGAAGTGAGGAGTCGTTTTTCTCGCCGCAGCTACAAATGCAGCTGCAGCAGCCCGCGGGTAAGTGAAGGGTTTAAAAGGGTTAGCTTAAGCTGAGCCACAGCCCAAGCTCAATGTGTGCGTGTGTGTAGGTGTGAAGATAGATCTGTATACATGAGCGAGTGTGTGTGTGTGTGTGTGTGTGTGTGTGTGTGCGTGTGGGCGTGTAACGCGGGGCTGTCCCCGTTTTTTGAGCAAACCCTTGAACTCGTTTTTTGCGAATCTTGCTCGTTGCCTCGCGTGCCTGGCTGCCAATTTTCCTCAATGAATTCCAACACAGACGCACAGAGATTGCTTGTGCGTGAGCCTGTGTGTGCGTGTCTGTGTGGGCACTCTCCTAGTTTCTCTCTCTCTCTCTCCCTCGCTCTCTTTGAGTTTCTCCCTCTCAATTTGCACTGGCTGTCTCTCAGTCCTTAGTTCTTCTCTATATGTCGCTGCGGCCGCATTGTTGACCTGCTCATTATGGGCGTATGTAAGTACATACGCCCACTTGTGTACGGACTTATCAAGTGGAATTCAGCGGCGGTTATTACGCTGCAATCAGCGCCGGTGGCGCGGCCACGCCCCTTTGCCCAAGCACGTAAACTGCATTAAATCATTAAGGCCAACACACATACATATGCACACAAACATGCACAGAACAATCTGAATGCAGCACCATCAACTACCCATTGCCACCTAGCTGCATTTGTGTGTGTGAGTGCAAGTTAAATGAATCCACCGAGCATGGCAGCCAGCTTGACTGGCGCTCCTGGCGCTCCTGGCGCTGTCATCGTCGTTGTCAGTAGGTTGGAAGCATCCACGTGCATAAATCATGCAAGTGTACAGCAGCTGCTGCTGCGTTGCCCCGTCTCCACGCCTTCCCGTCTCCCCATCCACAGTCACACTTGCCCCAGTAGCTCCAACAATTATGTACAAGTTGATTTTGCAACCGTGTGTCGTCTAAGCCGTTGCCTGCTCGTTGCCATTGCCGTAGTTCTCGTCGTCCTCGTCGTCGGCGTCTGTTGCAGCCACTTGCAATTTCAGCTGCTTTGTCACATGAATGTGAATGTAGGATGTAAAATATGGATGCGGTTGTATGCGTGCACTGAAGTGGCACACATGATGTCCGTTGTCCGGTGTGTCCTTTGTCAGTTGACTGTCTGCTTCTCTGCTTGCACAAGCGGCGCAGTGTCCTTCGGCGACCTCGTTCTTCAGCTCAACGCCAGAGCCCAACCACTACTGTCTCCCGCAGTCGACACTTGCTATAATATGTATGCATACATTGTATATACTATATACAAATATATATCTATATGTATATATGTATTTGTATATGTATATGGATATCTTTGTATTATATCCTCCAACGTCTGCATTTCGTTTGGGGTTAACTCGAGCAAAGCGTTTGCCGAGAAATTGGCAGCCAAGCCTTGAGCGTCTTTCAATTGCTGTGTCAGCTTATTGCATTGACAAGCTATCAGCAGCCAAGTAAAATTATTGTCAGGCACTACCCGCCCGATTCCGCCTTAATCATATTCATCTTCACTCATGTACACATACATATACATATCACTCTCGTTCTCGCTCTACATACATATATATTTAGATTGGCTACTCAACTGCAGTCCTTATAGGATGCTAAGTGGCACGACTAAGTGTATATAAATCAGTCCGTCAGCTTATCAGTTAATTTCATATATGGAAATGTATAGTAAGCCATTTTATGCATTACATTATACATATTTAATTCGGTTTTACTCTTTTGCCAAAAACACAATTTTTCCATTTATTCGAAGGTTGATTCAATTAACCTTACTTTCGCTATAATCTATTCGGACACTGAATAATTTACTCTCACCGTATTTGCATACATACGTTTTTCCTACATTTCGTTCAACTGGCCAACATATATAAATTTGCATTGTGGATGCTGGTTTTTACAGTGCAGGCAAATCGGGCACTCCACATCCGATCCATCTTTATTAAGATAATTATTCGCTCTGTCACAGGCTCGCATTTTCGTGTTGACAATTATTTCTCGAATACGATCTATATAATGAATCGGAATACGGGTACGGGTATAGATAGATAGATTATGCATCGCTTGGCTCTCAGGAGGCAGCAGAATTACGCTGTCCCAAAATGAGAAAGATGATTACAACTTCATGTTTTTCGCAGTTTTTCACGCTGCTGTTTGTCAGGAAAGAATTTAGCACACATCCCCACACCCACTGACAGCTACGACCACATTCACACACACACACACACACACACACACACACTATTACATTCCTACATTCCACATTCGGAATACAGGTCCGGTTGTCAGGGAAACTTGGGTTTCAGCTAGATTAAAGAGGGATGTCAATGCAAGCGGTCATTGGAGAGCCGTGAATGGAGTGTGGAGCGTGGAGCGTGGAGCTTGGCATCGGTCACGGCGTTTTCAATTAATCATCGAACGATTGCTGCAGCGGAAGCCGCGTAGATGGGTTCTACGCCAACTCAATTTTGCTCTCAATGTGCAATTCTGTTTCTTTTTCGATTTTTTTTATATGTTTTTTTTTGCAGGCACCGGCGGCAAGCAAATCAAAGGCGGTTACCTTTTACGCTATAAAAGTGAGTACAATCCATAAATACAAATCTTGTTTTTTGGCAAATTGCAAGCACAAGTGCCATCTGACAGCTTCAATACGACAGGTGCCTTGTTCACTAACTGAAGCTATCTTTGCAATGACTGCAAAAGAAATTTGATCGATTTATGACTGCATTAGCTGCGCTTAGCCCAGCATGCAGCACAACTTAGACGAAATGCCGAGCTTTAAGACACAGAAAACACAACATGAAATTTACTTTCAGAGCAAATGCTATGGAACCGCTGGGCCGAGGAGTGGGTTATACTATATGATGACTCCACCATGGCCTGGTTTACGGAGCCCGGACGTTCATCGCCATCGGGCAAGATATTGGTGAAGGAGGCGCCCGAGATGCTGGCCATTGCACACTGGACCGGCCAGATACCGCGTCGTCCCCCATTGCCCGATGGCGTCAGCGTGTCACAGCTAATTGCGCTTGGGTCACGTCGCAAGCGCTCCAAGGTCTACTGGATGCTGGCCAAGTCTGAGCACGAGGTAAGCGACTGGATTGACGCCATAACTAAAACTTTGCCGCCGCCACCGCAAATCGAATTGGTCGTGGATAAACCGCAACTAATGAATGTGTTGCGGCGTCCGCTTGTGCGTATAAGACGTAAGTATGAGACCCATACGGGACTCGGATAATATATCATAAGTGTTGCCCACCACCACAGCGGCCACCAATTCCGAGGTAAAGAAGCGCAAGTCGGCGGCCCATAGCACCAGCAGACATCATCGCAGCTCCTCGGCGGCCTTAACCACACAGCGCACGCTGTACAATCAGAATCCATTGATCAAGAGCGATGCCGCCGTGGCCATACTGAGCAAGAAGGCGGACTCCAAGGCATCGCTTGCTTGCGCACTGCCCTGGGGTCATGGCTGGGGCTGGGCCACGCTGCCCAATGGTGTCTGGAGTGGCGGTCTCACCTGGTCGCAGTGTGAAGACACATTCACCCTTCATGCACTGCCAACAACTCACTGCACCAATCTAATCGACAATTCGTGCAGTGGCGCCGTCTATCACACGGACATTGGCGGCTTTGATTTTCACTCCACGGGCATCGATGATGTGGGCGGTGAGGACTTTGACTATGCCATGGACTGTGGCGATTTCATCTTTTAAATTCAGCAACTAAAAGCTCCCACCTCATGCCACCCACACATAAATACTCACATACAGGTAACCAGGCCGAGCAGCAGTCGAACCCACCCAAAAACGCGTAAGGCGGATTAAGAATGAACACAAAATTCTAGTAAAAACAAAAATTATAGCATCTTGTTGTTGCAAAAACAAAACAGTTCGAAGAAATTAGTGATTAACGCTGTCATAGAATCATCCATGCCTAGTTGTCCTTTTGTGTCAGGCTCTGCAAGTGGCGCAACTCTTCATGCATGCACACACACACACACATGCAGACATTTCCATACATATTCATGCGTGGAGGCAAAGTCAGGTTGAGTATACGCATCATGGTGCAGCTGCATGTACGTGTATCGAGGGTCTGCATGTTTGTGTTTACTGCGTGTTTTGTATTTTTAATTGTGTTTGGTGTTTCTGTCTGTGTACGTGTTTGTTGTTAGTGTGCCAATTACGTATAAAATCCAATTAAGAAGTTAAGCTGCAACATGCGAGTGTAACACATTGAATTAATTCCAGAGATGACAATTTATCGCAAATTATGTATAACCAATAAGCTGCACACACGTTCACACACACACACACACACACACTTAGATGCACAGCAACGTCCACAGAACGACAGCAAGAATTTCATGTACAACAAAAACGAATGTCTTGACGTGCACCTAAAAGCAGGCAACATATTTAGCATAGTAAGGGACAACAACAAATTATTATGGTATTAAGCATCTTTTTATGAATTTTATAAAAATTCCCCCCGAACATTTTCGATGCCGAAGATCGCATTTGTAGCGTGTGCAATTTTTAAACAATTTTTTAGCGCAGCTAATTAAGCGAAATTGAAAAATTGTCATTTGTAATTGTGTAGAACATGCTGGCTATGTTCACATGCAGCATTTTTATAGATTAGTATGTAGTGGAGACGAGTTTTGCCATTGAGTTGAGAATGGCCCAAACCAAGCAAGAGGAAAACCAGGTTAATAACAAATACACTTGAATATACACAGTTCAGCCTAATTATAATGCGCATCGGTAAGCCCCAAGCACACCAAGACAGGTCAGTTATTAGAAACTGAATTACACAAAAACCCACCCGTACTGATAAAGTAAAGTTTATGAAATAAACAACTAACATTAACCGCAAATATATTTAATATGCTAAGAAAACCAAAGTCAGTTACAAATATTATGTATTTATACATAGGGCTTAATGCAGCAAATGCATCAATTATCCACCGTTTATCGGACGCAAGAAGCGTTGAATAAGTTTTAATGTTTAGAATGAATGCACCTGAAAGTTATTTAAGCCATCCGAAATATGATTGCCTCTTACAGATTGCAATGTTTCAAAGAACATTCAGGCGTCTACATTTGATTTGATCTTAACTAAAATTAATTTATTTTATATGACAGCAGGGGCCTTCATTCCAAATACTAATGCTTATTGAAACGGCCATTTTAATAAGCTCATCATTTATTTGAACAACATTAAGGTTCGCATTTGAATTTGAAAATTTTGAACATTTTTGTGCACAAATGCACAAAAAACGCCGCTACTAAAACCTTGAACAACAATGTTTAGAAATCTAATGTTAGAATAAGTCTTAAATGTCTTGAAGGACAAAGAATATCTTAAAGAATTGTTAAAAACCAAAGAAAGTAACTTAGACAAAAATAATGTGCAGGTTTTCAAAATGTTGCAAAAAAAACATAAGTTTAACAAGATAAATCTTAGCAAAAAAAAAACGGGTAACAAGAAAAATCTTGCCTCTCTGCATATGATGTCAGTACGTAACATCGTATGCGCCCTAATATAGCCCAAAATAAGTGTGTATGTGCATGTACTTGTATACTAGCAGTAGCTAAAGCCTAGTATGTTCAAGTATACATAACTATATATATATATATATATGTATATGTGTTAAACAATTGAAGAGTCGATGAAAACAGAAAAGCGCAACCAAAGTTAAATCGAAAGCGATATTAATATCGACATCGATATCGATATCTAAAAATACACAAACACTGAAACTGAAACCTGAGCCCCGCAGCCTTAGTTAATGCAGCTACTGTTAAACACCCTAAGACACTTATCACACACACACAGATCGATATATGTATAGCCAGAATAATATATATAAATGTTAAATGGAAGTAAGCGATATGCGAAAGAAGAACAAACCCCTATAAAAGAATGTAGACTAAAAGACTTAAGCAATTGTCGTATAGACGTTAAATTAGAGCGCATTGAATGTTGGCTTTAAAATGTTTAGAAAAGTATCTTTGTAAGTAGTTAAAAGCAGCGACAGCTGATCGATGTGCTTATAGGCAGCATTATCCTGTAGTCTGAAGTGTAGCCCAAATAAACGATATGTTATTGAATGTAATAGTCGAACGAAGCGTAGCAGGAACAAAGAGCGACAACAAATTGAACATAAACAAAAAAAAAAAAAAACAGTAACAAACAAGTAAACAAAAAAAAAAAAAAAAACAACTTCGACAATCACGGATATTAAGAATGGAGTTACACATATTGAAAAGTTAAATAGGCTTCGCGTCGAATTGCGTTTGGTTAGTAATCGTATTAGAATAGTAATAGTTATCGAAATCGAAATCGATTCATGAAATTGCAATTGAAATCGGAACGTTGGAGTTTTTTGTGGCAACTGTACTAGGAACTAAGGTATCGTAAAGTAGCCGCGAGCATCGCACAATAAACTCCATGACTAAAGCGAACAACAACCGAATATTGAAAAGTTCAAAAGTCAGGTTTTAATCATAGTACACACGGTACATACTATGTACATACACAATGTACTTTAGTCCTCCGCTATTCATTTATTTTCTAATCTTTATTAATACGCAACAATTCAGCATGTAAATGATGAAGCAACAAAGATAAACCAATAACATTTATACTTTGATAAATGTACGTTTTTGTAGATCACTTGTACACGTTAAATATGCATTTTCAATATTTTTTGAAAGGCCAAAATCATTATTTGTAATTCTGCCGCGTATTTAGCCGTGCGTTTTCACATAGTTCAACTGTGTCGGATTATAAATATATAGAATATATATATGTATTATAGAAAAGGCGAAAATTTGCAAGTCAATTGGCTGGGCAACATTTTGGTCAGTTTTTGTGCATGCATTACGTATACGACGCCTAGGCCTGCGCCGCATTCGCCTAGTACTTAGAATTAATAATAAGTAATTGTTGTTTATTGTCAGCTGTCAGCTCCCAGTGCCATTGTTGTTACTGTTGCTGTTGCTGTTGATTTTGATGTTCGAGTTGGCGTGCCATTGTTAAATGTACCCGAACTCGTATGTGTATTGTAAGGACTTCGAATGTTATGTGTGTATTTGTAATTGTATTCGTATTTGTAATCGCTGTACACTTTGTATTTGATTTTTCGCAAAGTGCAAACAAGCAAATATATGTAAGCAACATGCAAAAATTCAGATCCATACCAAACCAATTGACCTTATCGTACACGAATTGCTAACTCTCCAGACATCAACACATGGAGCCCCTTATGCTTATACACAAATGGAAATATGTACGTACACAGATAATAGTTAATTGTCTTATTTTCCGTGAGAGTTTTTTGGTGTAATTGCAAATCTGATTTAACTATGGCAAGGCTAATCAATAATCTACTAAATATGTCTGTATTTACATGCACGGTGTCTATATACTTTTAATCGTATACATATATGTATATGAATGCATATATATATTAAGATATGTACGCAAAAACCAAACAAAAAATTGATTCCAGCTAAATATTTCCTGAGCTACAGCCGGAAAATAACAAAAGGCACTTTAAAAGATATAGCAAACGAACGTATATTCACGAACTTACATTTGAGTGAATTGTATATTTTGGAAAGGTTATCAAGCGATTACTCAATAGCACGAAGTGATGCACACACATTCGATGTATATAATATGTACGAAATTGTCGAAAGAGAAAAACATGATAATAATTCGCTCAAACTTTGATTAAAAAGAAAACAACACGAAAGATGAAACACAAGGCAAGGCGCGCACTTATTAGGTTTCAAAACCGCAGTAAAACCTAAGCAAATGAAAAGTAATGAATAATAATTGTTATATAAACAAATGATGAACAAAGAAACGCAATGTGAGTAATAGGCAAACTTTCACTACCGAACTTTGAATACCCTTGCAGAGTGCACACAAATATGACTATTAATATGCATTTTCAATGTATTCTTTGTTCGTCAAATTATTTAACAAATTTAACAAAATATTTGCTTTTGTATTTTGACTGTGCCAGGTCGCTGAACAAACCAGCTGACCCTCTGCAGGGGTAAGGGTATACATCGGTAACTCGAGTCATATATGATTAATGATGGTTTTGGTTGGTTGAGACAAACTTCTTAAAATGTACTATGACACTGTATAAGTCTTGCGATCCGAGCGAAAAAGTTGATTAAGGGTTAAAGCTGAAACTGAAAGCAAACATGTTTAAGCGTTGCGAAATTCGAAAAGGAATCAAATGAATAACAACAACAATTACAATTGCGAAGTCGGCAAATGAGCGATAAATATATATATATATATATTTGTGGAACAAAAGCACTCACATTTGGTTTTATTTCATTCCCTCCCCTTTTTTTTAAGCTAATTCACAGACTGCCACGCCCCCCCCCGGTATACGGTATACGGTCGCGTCATTCACATCGTCATCGACTGATCGGTGCACTGTCAGCGACTGCGTTGACTCTGCCTCTGCCTCTGCCTCAGTCGCTGTCGCTGCCGCTACCTTAGTCTCTGTCGCTGTCGCTGTCGCTGTCGCTGTCTCTTTCGCTGCCAGCTGCGGCTGCAGCCGCCGCCTGCTCACAACTTGTTCGGCTGGCCGTTTAGCTGGCTTTGTGTGCGGCCGCAATCTTGTCTCAGTCACCGGGCAAACTTCTAAGTAAACAGTCCGAAACGAGTCACGGCTGCCGCAGACATTGTTTAGCCACCTCTACTTTGGCTCGGGCGCACGCGACGTATGCGTAATTACGGCCCGTTGTCAGTTTTGACCAACTGGCGCTGTCCTGTGCCCTACTTTGAGCCGTGTGCTTTAAAATTCAACAAACGTTCAAGTGTGTCAATAAACTCTGCTGCCATTTGCCGTGGATCGACCAGCAGGCTCGGCCCCTTGCCTGTTTCAGCTGGCGTGTGTGCGTGTGCGTGTGTATGTGTTCGATTCCTCCTCTTCAGCCTCTGGCAAACATTTCTCAATCGCAGTCGGCGCATAGCTGGTAAGTTGCTTAGCTTCCAAGTTATGCAAATCAAAGCACTTGGCGCAGCCAAAAGCAACACACAAAACACCTCAAGTCACACACGCACACACACGCAGATACGTACACACACATGCACACACACAAACAGTTAGATTCAAACGTGTGCCAAAAAATAAACATAAATTAATTGCTTTGTGTGCTTGCTGTGCGACGACAACACCGACTGCTCAATACCCTAAGCGCGAATATAAATGAACTTCCCTTGAATAGAATATAATAAAAGTACATTGTGAGATTAGGTCTTAGAGATGTAAGCAATTGGCATTGAAATATTTGATATAAATCAAAACTATTCAGAGTCTGGGGCTCTTCATATATTTTCATATATGCCAATAAATCGCAATTTTCGCAATTGCTTTAAGCACTTAGTTGGCTCTGATTTGCCAGTTGAAATTCGGAATTATTATGGATGACAGTTTCGTCACAAAATTGTTACAAAATTAAATTCCGAAACAAACAGATACGTATTTAGTTTAGTATATGATTATATTTTGAGAGCTAATCTACAATCTTAGTAGTAATTCGTTAGGAAAAACGTATCATAAATTGTATCCAATATCACCTAAGCAGCAGCAAGGTTCTGTTGGCACTCACATACGCACTTACATTTCATATACATATACATATACATATATATATATATATATCTAATATTTATATATATATATATATACATACATAGGTATATGTATTAGGTCTGCTGGTGTTAAACGCAGTTCAATTAATTCGGTAAGCGAATAAAATTCAATTCAATTAGTTTGCTCATTGAGCAGCCCATTTTTGGAGCAACTGAATGTCGCAGACAGTCCACGGCCCACGGCCCACGGGCCACGTCTCCTAGTGCTGCCAGCAACTGGGTACGGCTTCAACTTCGATCTCGACTTGATCTTCGACTTCCAGATGTCGCCCACACGACATGTTAAGCAACAATTTGCGCCCTGTTTCCATTGACGCCTCCTGGCGACATTCAAAACCGCTCAAAAGCCGCTTGATTTTGATTTGTTTTTGGTTTTGTTTTATGTTTTTTTTTTTTTTTTTGCAGCTATTTTTAGGCACATCGAAAAGCGAAACTTTTAGCCGACTGTGTGCATGAGTCATCGGAGAATCTAAGCCGGGTCTACACTTGCCAAGCAGCTGTGCCGCGTCATCGTCATCGCCATCGCCATCGCCATTTCCATTGCCATCGCCAACATCGTCGCGGCGACTGCTGCCCACACGACGCAGCTCAGAGACTACTGGGACTCGATTTAGCGAGAGCAAACTTTATTTGGTGATGGCGTCACAAGATGCCGCTGATTGCCCAACCTCAAGGCTGGCACAAATGCGGGTAAGTCTCGCTGCCTCTGACAGGAAGCGTGCCGAGCGCACGAAAGCCGTCTCTGGGCTCTGGCCAATGGTCCGCTTGGCCATTAATTAAACTCTGGCCCATTTTTGGCACTCGAGTTTCCGTAACGCTCCATATATGGGCACGACTTCATGCTGTTGATGTTCTTGTCTAGACTTGGTTCAACATTAGCCCTGGCTAGGCTGCTGCTGCTGCTGTTTCGCAGCGACATGTCAGCCAATTAATTTTAGCTCTTGGCTAATAGTTGGCTAATGGGAACTCTTAGGCGCATACGGCAACTTAATAGAGCTTTTATACATAGACTTCCTCAACATGCATACGAATTGAATTATTAAACAAAACATATTTATTACACCTCAAGATTATTGTTAATGATTGTCTGACAGAAACCCTGCCCAGTTGATGTCTTTGACATTAAGCTTATCTAAGCCAATTATATTATTTACGCCGCTCATTTAACTACTTCAGCTTTAGTAATTTAACGAGCAATTAAACAAAGAGCTTGATATTTTCAAAAATGCGTATGTTGATTTTAAAAACAATATGATGTATGAAAAAAATGTGTGCCGCTTAGTAGAGAAATTAACTTAATTAATGTTTTTAGCCTCTGTGTACTCGATAAAGTCGGCCAGTTTATGTATATATATATACATATATATATTTATTGACGTATACTTAATATTCGACTACCCCATATAATCATATGCCCCTGTCAAATAGTTAGTTGATTATCAGCACAAGCACACGGAGAACTGCCACACACACACACACACACACGCACACACACACAC